CTGTTTCCACTGGATGGTAGTTAGATTGCAAGAAACAACAGTGTTTGTAAGAGCCATACCTAATTAAACAGTTACTCTATGTTGTCCTTTAAGGTTAAAAATCAGAGAATGAAAATATTTCATAAGTTTATTGTGTTCTTTGTCTTTGGAGATAGATTATGGTTAATATTGCAAAAATAAATCATTATTCTCTACAAGAAACAATGAAATTAGTTTTGTATTTTTTCTATTATTATTTTTACATTTTCAATAGAATATTTCTTGATCTTTTACTGTTTAGATTACAGGTAAACCAGAAATATTTGTTTTACATTTTCTGATGCCTCAGAAATTGCCTTTAAAGGCTGAGCAGTAATGTATTATTTCTAAATGTGAAAATTACTGAATAAATAAAACCTTCAGAAATGATATGCATTTATAAGGTCTCTTTGTGTCAAAATATTTTCATTATGTATAATTTATGCAGAAATTTCACACCTACAAAAAGAAAATTGTGCTATTTTATGCCACTGTATTGATTTCTATCAAGGGTTCTGCAGATAAGAGTATATGTGGTGAGATTTGTTTTTATGTATCATGTTCAGTGTACACCTACAATAATAGTGATATTTGCTTCCATACGAATATGCCTTTTTCACAATTTGCAGGATTGATTTGACTAATATATTTGATTTGACTAATAGAAGATGTAAAAGTAAAAGTATGAAATTCAGTCAAAAACTTAAGGGGGCCATCACACTGAATTTTCAACGAATATTTTAAAAATTACTTGAAATTTTGAAAAAATTCTCCTGTAATCTAGTAGGCTTTTTGTAATGATATGATGTAATATTTCTGTTAAATACGTAAAAATAAAGGAATTATGACTAAATCTCTGACCAGCTACACTTCAGAATACCATGTGAATGTCAGAGAATGCATCAAGATTGACGCAGAGATAAGAATTATTAAAAAAAAAAAAGGAAAAGTATCCTGAACTTTGGAGCCGGATATCTCAAAACTATCAAAACTACACCTGTCAACATTTTTTTTTATTTCACCATAACTACTTGGGGGATTTTAATGGGGTTTGCATCATTTGAAAGCTGAATAATTTTGTGATTTTTGGGTTAAAGATGATTTTAATTTTAGATAATAGAAGTCCATATATTATATCATATTTTCATAAGACTGAACATTTATAAAAAAAAAAAATCCCACTAAACTAAGAGGAAATTCCAAAATACATTTTTTGCAAGTTTTAGGTATTGCTAAAGAGTATATGTGATATTCCTTTCAACAAGTTTGGTCAGTGGATAAGTTCAATACTGAATATTTTGTGATTTTTCAAAAACTTTTTTTTTTTAATAACTTCAAATTAAAAAATTGCAAAAATCCGTTCATAATTGATGAACTTCGTGATGGCCCCCTTAAAAAGGCCCAATAAAAAGGTGAAACTTGTGAACATACACAACAGAAATTTAAACCATAACCATTTTTTTTTCTCTATCCTGAGTTGTCCAATGTGGTGAAGAGAAAGGAGGGAGTGTGGGTGTAGAGAATGGTCACAGTAATGAAAGAAGTAAAGGAGTGAGTAAGATGGAGTGATACTTGAAGAAATGATGTGTAATTAAGGTTTTGATATTATGAATGACCTAATTCTGACAGTTTAATACTGAAGCGTTATTTATAAATCGTCCCCATGAAGAATGAGAACATATGATTCCAGATACAAGAAAACTGAATATTATGTATGAAATATCTATGATGGTGTAATATCAAAGCAGTAATTATAAACTGTCAGTAAACAACAAAAATGAACATTTCCAGATGCAAGATATGCAGTTACCATTTTGTTACAATGGAGAGCATAACGTGACACTGGAATGTTTAATTATAAATCTAAAATCATCCTCACAAATATTTTCTATCTTTTGTCAGTGAACTTTTGTTATGAGAGAAGATGAAGAAACAGGAGACACATTTACAGATGCAACGAAGAAAACACTAATAAAGAGAAACTAGGGTATATGTATGTGATTAAGTGATATGAAAAGACACTTTAATTGTTGATATGCAGTAGATTTCATTATGTTGATTTGGCAAGGAGCAAGGACATCTTCAAAAGGATATCTGCGAATTCCTGCATCATTATGATTTTGAATATCCGTATAATACATCTGCCTTGGTATATCTTATTGTCATTGTAAAATAATAACTTCAGCATTTATATAACCTTACAAACAATTCCTTAGAAAATGTCTTTTGTGATAAAACAAATACAGTAAAATGTTCTTAGTCAGTAGTGCTATATGTTTTATGTCATGCAGAAATATATACTTTAAATGTTTTAATGTTATTTTTATCTATACTAAAGATCTATTTGCTATAAAGTGGAATCATATTGTAATTGTAATTGTTACAGAACTTTAAAGGAAGGAAAAGTTAGAGAGAAAGAAAGAGAGGATTTGTCTGCTTTGATATACAAGTGATTTCTTTAACAGATTTATGCTGGCTAATG